TATTAATAATCGAATTAACTATTAATATAAATTATGTTTTCCGAGGACTATGAAAAAGGTCCTCGGAGGGTGTGTATGTCCTCAGAAGTTGCTATATATCTGTATTTTTGTCCTCGCAACATATAGCAATCCAAGTACAAACACACACACACACACACACACACACACGACGACAAAAGTGAATATAAGGGCAATCCTAGCGGAGCGGTTCGCCAATTAAAAGAGATTTTTCGAGGTTGACACTGTAGACAAAGAGTAGAATTTTTTTATTTTTTTTTGGTATTTTTCTCTCGCTATGCACTTGCTAAAATGTATCATAGCTTCTCGCAACTATGCGTTAGCTCCTGCTGTACTTGCATAAATCCTCTTAGTAATACAACGTGTATATACATTTATGTAAAAAGTATTTATAAAAGTTATTCGCGTCTCCTAGACAATGCAAATCATCAAAGCTTAACATTTCGCTACCCCTTGAAATACGAGGTGCGTTTCGACCACTACTATATGATTAATGGCAGTTTTATACTTTATGTTTCAATAACACTCATTAGAGGTTAAATCATTCCTTTCATTTCCAGATAGATATTGGTCTACAGCACGGTGAATTGAAAACAAAGCCCCGTGGATTGCCACTGGACGAGTACACTATTGCAGATAAAATGAAAGAGGCTGGTTATTCAACCCATCTCGTTGGAAAATGGCATTGTGGATTTTATTCAAAATTCCATCTCCCACACAATAGAGGATTTGACACATTTTTTGGTGAGCATCTGCTTGAAACCAGTTGTCGGTATTTGTATTTAATGCAATATTCATTAATTATGTCTAATATGTCATGTTCTCTGGTGAACCACATAGTTATGTCGCTAAAAATGTATATTAAACCCATATTTGGTCGACCATAGATCAAAGTCATATGAACGGTGTGAATTGAGTTCCTTGCACGCATCTACGTCATGCTTCACTACCAGAGGGCGCTTCTAATAATAAACGTCATCTCAGATATAACATATTTCTCGTTGTAGGTTTTCTCAACTCACACGAAGACCACTATAACCACACGAAGGGTGGTCTACCGGATTTGAGACGAAATGATGTGTGTGTAACCGACAAATATTTTGGTAATTTTTCAACAATGATGTATGCAAATGAAGGAATGGCCATTATTAATGCTCATGACCGAAATAAGGTAAATCCACATTTGTCGTGAGATTAGTTTGTAATTATTTTGGTAATAGTTTTGTTGTCTCTCAAGAATGGGACATTCAATGTTATACGTCAAAGGTATTCACATTATCGTTTTGTTAGATATTGATATTGACTTCCTTCATCGTATTCCATGTTTTTGACGTCATTTTGTGTAATACCGGCCTCTGATGTGATAACATCCGAGACACTTAAATTGTTGAAGACGTTAAAATGTTGGATGACTCTTTCTATATGGTTCTCCGCTTGCGGGAAATTCTGATTATAAAACAGACAGATTGCATTTCGGCGCACTTCGGACAATAGCAGCCACAATAATTCTTGATATCGGACACAAACAATTAAGGCACATAACTGTTCACGGTCAAACGCCAGCAATGTAATTAACAGATACGCATGCATGTGTAATCTTGTTCATTAGACAAAAAGCATAAACTTTCTCTGTTGAAAACAAAATAAGCGAGCAACAGATTCAATGTTTGTACACATGAAACTACAGCCGGGCAGGTGAAACGGACTACTTGACGTATATCATTTGCATATAAAGTATAGCATGTGTGACCTACATGTACACATGCCCCAAGTAGACTGGCGCAGTCGGGCGATTAATTTGTTTTTGTAGTTTAAATTAAAAAAATCGAAATGGAGGTGTTAGCGCGAAATCGCCCGACTGGTCTATTCTGCAGGAAATTCATTGCTATTAAATATTCATGAATGCCCACAGGTGGGGGCGGAAACACGTGCCAAATGAGGTGAACATGGTAAAGGTCACACTGCAGACATAACATGGCGGCACGTTGAAATTCGAGTTTGTCGTAGTCGTTGTTTCTAATTCATCACAATTTGTAAAAAAGTAACTCGTACTAGTCGTAGAATTAAAAAAAATCGGCTGCTACAACCAGCCGACGTCTTCTCGGTCAGAGATCAGTTGAAGAGACGTTGTGATTGGCTTAGATGATTGTCAATTAGAACATTATCGATAGAGGGCCGTGCATAATAAACCAGTCGGGGTGATTTCACAGTTACAGGGGATTTCGCGCTAACACCTCCATTTCGCGATTTTTTGTATTTTATTTGAACTACAAAAATAAATTAATCGCCCCGACTGCGCCAGTCTAATGCACCAGGTAAACAAAGTGATAGGATTTGTTCTCATGTTTACTTGATGTACATTACAAAGAGTAATGTGTTTCTTGATTCATAGCCCATGTTCCTTCTCATGTCGTTTTCGGCGGCACACCAACCCTTGCAAGTGCCATCTCTCTACGAGAAGCAATACGAATCTACCGTATACGACACCGATAGGAAAACATTTGCAGGTATGGTGTCATGCGTGGATGAAGCCATAGCAAATATCACCGAGACTCTGGAAAATAGAGGCATGCTGACAAACAGTGTAATTGTATTTACAACTGGTGAGTACCTATACTGGAGGATGAGTAGAGACAGAATATCCTACATTTTAGATGCGTTTAATACACTTTTCTAGCGACATAACTATGCCTTGATGTGGACATAACGCAGGCTCGTGAAAATCATGTCGTCAGCACCACTGTTTGCCCAGTTGTCTTTCGTCATTATGAGTATACCTAACTGTCAACAGTTTGGTAAAGAAACAAAGTCACAAATTAGCCAATTAGCAAACGATTTATCGTGATTCATGGAAAGCACGAAATTCTTCGCCGACTGAGGGAATTACTTTACCGACAGAGGGCACTAAATTATCGATAGTGGGCACGACTAATTTCTCAAGTTGCAAATGTCTAATTGTCTCAGCCTAGAGAGGACATTTTTCAGCTCCTCGTCTACGTTATCATCTTTACAGACAATGGCGGCGCGTTACGCTATGGGGGAAACAACTGGCCTTTGAGAGGTGACAAAAAGTCAAACTGGGAAGGAGGTGTCAGAGCAGTTGGATTTGTTTATAGTGATTTGCTTCCACTGGACGTGCGTGGCACTGAAAACAACGGATTGATGCATATCACTGACTGGTTTCCTACTCTTGTAAAATTGGGCGGTGGTGATCCACTTGGGGAGAAGCCCCTTTATGGAGTTTGCCAATGGGATATGATAAGGTATTTGAAATTAACATTATTCCGTTGATCACGTTATTAAACTCGCATATAACATGTAAGTAAAAGGCGGTAGTCGTCGCGCATCCGCGAGTTATATGGGTCTCATATAAAGATGGCAGACGTTACTAAGCTTTAATTAGGTAATTTTGTTAGTGATTGAAAGGTGTCGAAGGAGTCGCTGGCGGTACGTAGGGCATGTCGTGCCCCCGTACTAGTGATTTCCATTAGAACAGCGCACTGGATTGTGGGAAAACCAATTCTGCCTGGGGCGAGATGTAAAATCTAGATCTTCTGAAACGCTATTTCCTGCTATCTGTGGGGCAAATGATGTCTGATAGATTATGATGAAAAATGATGCGAAAATATCACGCATGTACAGCATATAACGAGAAAACTTCATAATATGAAAAATACACAGCACATTAAGAAACAAGAATATCATTATAAGTTGGCGGGGAGTTTATTATTTTCCTTATTTTGTAGCGTTGTCAATGTCAGTGAATTTGCTGCAAATATAAATCGGACAACCCAGGGAAAAGTTCACAGTGACAAAAAGTTTTACTGGTCCCTGAATCTGCATTATTGAAAATGTCATTCTTGAAATTCAGTTTACAATTTCGTATGATAAAATAAAATAAAAGGGGAAATTAAGTTTTATCCATAAAATATTAATGTATTTTAAATTATTTACATTGCGAGTGGGCGAGTGACTAATGTGCATAGCATTGTAAGGACTACCTGAGTGAACGTATACGGGTACGCCGTTCTGGGTACCCGCTTGCTGCCTGGCACAACGCTACAGCAATGTGAGTACTCCAGATTGTCTCTCCGTAGCCAGATTTGAATTGAACTTTACTGGAAAGTCTTATTGTATTCTAGAAAAACAACAACAACAGTGACTGTTAATGTGACTATATAAATGAACTACACACCTTAAAAACTGGGATACGTTTATTAGTGTAAGCAAACTAATAAATGTATGACATATACCATAAGAGAGCGGTCCTAGCGATCAGCTGACAATCAATTCAGCGTGTGATCAATTAAGCGTAGACATGATTGATTATCGCTGGACCATGTTTCTTGAATACTAATGTTCACGAGTTCGCGAATAAACAATTATAAACAGTTCATCATCAATAACGCAAAACCAGGACAACGATGAAATATGATGATCAGCAGCAGCCACAATACTGCCGCCTTGGTGGAACTCTTTATAATTCTGCCGAATTTTCCTCATATATAAATCAGTGAGAATGTATGTAAAATTCTGACAACAGAACAACAGGTAATTCCGATCATCATGTTCGCAAACATTGAAACACCACACCATAGACAGTGTGAGACGGGTGCGTTGGGGCGGTGAAGTCAATGTGGGGATGAGAATAGTCAGGCGCAAACTCAACACTATACATAAGCAATTTTAGGCCGCTCTGTTTCGTTTTGTTTCGGACATTTTAGGTCGCAAAGAAACACATAATTACAGGTTTAGTTACAAAATAAACAAATTGTAGCGAAGTTATTGTTCCAGACACATAGTATGAGATGATGCACAACAATATGGAAATCTGGGCATAATACAAAACAAAAAAAAGAATTCATATCATAATTTTGAAAATGCTGAGCGTAATATAGTGTAACACACATATCATTATATGAACATATAATAAAACACACGCATATAGTTTTATGAAATATGAACAGCATATGTCGGAAGACACTGTAAAATAATAGACACCTAGTCTGAGAATCCCAAATATTACAGAAAGGGGTGTAACTTTCGGGGAATTTTAATTACACTAATAAACAAGATCAAGTTCAGTGATAGATTGCAGAGTTAATTGTAATTTGCATATCATGTCATGGGTAATCTAACCATCTGACGTTAAATGTACTTATAGTGTCAAGTTTTACTGAATAAACCAGTTATCATATGGTCGTATTCTTGTCTATGACACCTTATCACTGCTTTGTTGCATAGTTATTTCCGAGATACTAAATGTCTTCTTCCCTACTCCCACATCATAATAGGAATTATGCGCATAACTTGGAACATGAGCAGTATAATAAAAATACACATACTATAATGCAAAACAAGAACATTATATGAAAACATGAGCAGCATAATATAAAACATGCATATCACAATACGGAACATCCAAGGCATAATATAAAATAGGCACATCATATGAAAGACGCATAACATAATATGTAACATGCACAGCATAAATGAACAGCATAATTTAAATCATTACAGAAACATCATGCACAACACCATCATATGTTGAACACGCAGTAGGTTATGTTGAATGGATCACGCAAAAAAGAACATCACAAATAATGATCTTTACTATTTGTAAATCAGCCTAAATTTGATAACCAAAATATCTAATATCATGTTTCACAGAGGACTGAGCCAATCACCACGCAATGATGTCCTGATAGCTCTTGATACAACAGACAAGACACACGTAAACGGAATGAATCATTTTTGGAATAATGGCTTTGACATAACCACTCGGGCAGCTCTTAAAATGGGCAAATGGAAGTTACTCACGGGCAATAATAGAGGTGAGTGCCAAATAAATTCTGACTGGGGTGTTATTTAAAATTATACACATAACATTATGTGACAATTTTACTTTCTATTGCAATATCTTTATAGTTAATATATATATATATATATATGTATATATATATATATATATATATATATATATATATATATATATATATATATATATATATATATATATATATATATATATATATATATATA